GACCCTCTTTCTCTTGGCCTTTACAAACTATCATCGCTGTTTCTTGAAACATTTATTCCTTTCACAATTCTGGTCACCACTTCTGGCGGCACTTAGTGGTCTGTTCTAATCAAAACGACGTTTGACTCCGGCGAATCTTTTGCCGACATTTAACTTTGTGCACTCTCAGAATTTCAACAAGTGTAAACATCATTTCGTTTTAACTTCGGTTTAAACATCATCTCGGCTTAACTTCGGTTTAAGCATCATCTCCATTTAACTTTGGTTAAACATAATCTCGGCTTAACTTCGGTTAAGCATCACCTCAGTTTTTGAAGTTTTTCCTTTTTGTCGCTTGTACTCTTGTACCTTTTTGTTTTTTTAGACAATGTAAGCTTTGCATATGGCCGATGTGCCTCCTTGTTCTTGAATGTCTAATGCAACTTTCCTTCTCTGAATGCTTGTGCCTTTGTCTTTCTTGACTGCCTTTGCATGATTCTATACTTAAAATATTTGCGTGTCTTTAGTATGCTCTTCCTTCTTTGTGCAACCTTCTCGGGGTGACATACCTCGGGTATATAAACTGATGATTTACCTGGCAATAACTTGTCCTGTAAACTTTGGCATAAATTCCAACAGATATAAAACACATACTGTTTTAATTTCACCTATAAACTTTCCTTAAGTTATAACAAGTGTTAAATAATGATCTACTTGTAAATTACTACAAATTTCAACAAGTGTTAAAACATATACTTTAGCTTTTACTTCAACCTGTAAATTGCTGCAAATTTCAACGGATGATCATATGTCGGCTTAACGTCATCTTGTAAATTGCTACAAATTTCAACAAGTGTTAAGCATCTTCTTCGGGTTAACCAACTTGTAAATTTCTACAAGTGTTTAACCAATAACCTCGGCTTAACTTCAACTTGTAAATTGCTACAAATTTCAACAAGTGTTAAGCATTACTTCGGTTTAACTTCAACTTGTAAATTGCTACAAATTTCAACAAGTGTTAAGCATCTTCTTCGGGTTAACCAACTTGTAAATTTCTACAAGTGTTTAACCAATAACCTCGGCTTTACTTCGGCTTGTAAATTGCTACAAATTTCAACAAGCGAAAAGAAACAGTAATCTCGGCTTAACTTCAACTTGTAAATTGCTACAAATTTCAACAAGTGAAGATAAGGAATCGGCTTAACTTCGACTTGTAAATTGCTACAAATTTCAACAAGTGTTTAAACATATTCTTCTTCTCTCTGCTTCTTGCTTGCTGGATCCATTGTTACCTTGGCCTCGCTTTGGCAAACCGTTTCTTTTCTCATGTTTTTTATAAGCCTCTGCATCCTTTTGTCCGTAGGGTCACCAGAATCCCTTTGATATGGTTCTGTAGGCAAGGGATCTGCTCCGTGCATAGCTTCCACATACTCCTTTGTGGTCTTTACAACAGGTCTTCATCTTGGCTAACTTCAGTCCGATCTTGTGTGTTTCTTTTTTGTCTTCTAGGATCTGAGATTTGCTCACTAAGCTCTTCTCTTCTCGGGTTTAAGTGCCGAGCTCTTATCTTCTGGAATCTTGGATCTGCTTATTCAGGTTGAGCTCTTTTTTTTCTTGGGCCTACTCATCGAGGCCGAGATCATGTCTTCTGGAATCTTGGATCTGCTCATTCAGGTTGAGCTCTTTTTTTCTCGGGCCTACTCATCTAGGCCGAGATCATGTCTTCTAGGATCCGGGATCTGGAATCCGGGATCTACTCACTCAGGATGAGTTCTTCTATACTTGAATGTTATCTCCTTGGGAGCGCTCATGCCCCCTTACTTTGCATCCCCTCTAGAAGGGTCTTCGTTCCTCCGCAGGTATCTATTCTTCCATACCTGGAGGTCATCTTTGTTGTAGTATCCGCTTCGATCTGTTGTCTTTGGTGCGTCACCTTCCTGGCCGGCGTCTTTCACTCCGTGACTCTGGTCACGAGTTTCTGTGTTGCTATTGTCCCCTTCAACGTCGAGTTTGATAGATCTCCCATTCCCAACAGGAGCGTTGTCTCCAGTCTGATCCTTCTGTCCGTCATTGGCCATCTATTCTTCGTTCGATTCCCACAGACGGTGCCAAATTGCGTGGGTGATTTTCCGACCACACTGCCCGCTTAGTAACCAGCTGGAGAGCATTGGTAGAATAGATGGCACCTGACTGACCTGCAACAGAAATATAAGAATCCCGCGGTGGTTTCGACCACCCGGGGGCACTCCGACGATCAAGTCAGTATATCTCTCAAAGATAAATCAAGTACTAAACTCACAAGCTTGAGTATCCAAAGCATACCTTAGACCTATGGAGGTGCCTCTCTTTTATAGCCAATACAATCCTAGTCCCAATAGGAGCCTGGCCCTAATAGACTTAGGATTACTGCTAATCTGGGACTCCCAGTGGGGTTAGGATAAACTCTCTAAGAGTCTTATCTTTACCCAAACTGAAGTCTTTTCTCATTCTAGGACTCTTGTCCCTTATCCAGGTTGAGTTCCCTTTTCATTCTAGGACATGGTGCTCGCCCATCCCATTCGATGAACGATTCGGCATAAAACGGGTTCGTATCCAAACCCATTTCTATTTTGAACTCAGACTTTGATTCGATCGAGACCCATTTGCGATCTTCGATTGTCGAATCATGATGATGATGGGTTTGTTCTGGTTCGGTGGAATTGAAAGTAAAGGTTCAACTGTCATCGATGGTTTACAAAAGTCATTATGATTGTGTACAGGTTTAGCCTGTGTATTTCCAGGTTCGGCCATGGATGTTATAGTCCATGGTTGCTATGTTTTGTTATGTAATATAGACTGCTTTTGTTAGTTTTGGTTAGTTCTTGATGGTGTAGAACTATTGACTTAGTTTAGTGTTTTGTCATCATCTATCTGATAACTTAGGTGCTATGTAGAGGTGGTCTCGCCGTCCATGGTCGCAGTTTCAGTCGTCCACTATGTTTTTCGTGGGTTTCATCCGTCTATGGTTATGATTTTGTTTAATTATAGAGAAATGGTAGGGTTGTAATTTTAAAGAGAGAAGGAGGAAGAACATGGCGTGTCTTTGTTGTTTAAATTAATTTGTTAAATCAAAATCCTAATTTCATATATCAAAACCCTAAGTTCTCTCATTTGTTCTTCTCAAATACATAACTGTTGAATGAGAAATACTAAACAAAAGTTATATATAAGGTAAAATAGTCTTTTTACTTTTGATGTTAACAGTGTTAACTGTACAATTTAATCCAATAATCACAGGAGATTATGTGATGATTTTCAAATGTCGAAAGGTAAAACACAAGCGATCCAAATTACATGGAGTAAAGTAAAATTTGTCCTAATTAATAATTATAAGTGAATTGCAATAAGAGAAATAATTTTAAAAAAATAAGATATATTGTAAGCCCTCTAGAAGGAGCGTGGGGTAAAGAAAATGGTGACATGGACAAAAGAAGGGATACAAAGCATTACCCTTTTCACAAAACACAAGGGGTGGGGGGAATCAAGGAGTGTGGGGGGAAGAAAATGGTGACATGGACAAAAGAAGGGATACAAAGCATTACCCTTTTCACAAAACACAAGGGGTGGGGGGAATCAAGGAGTGTGGGGGGGAAGAAAATGGTGACATGGACAAAAGAAGGGATACGAAGCACTACCCTTTTCACAAAACACAAGGGGTAGGGAATCAAACAATTATACCCAAAAGAAAGATCTCTTCAGGCCACAAACAACTTATGGCTGAGAATTCACTCCCCACTGCTGACGTGGCAACCCCATATCTCTCACTATACTCTGTAAAATCACTCTAAGTGCCTACCTACCCAGAACCGATCATAAAATTAACAAAAACACTAATTATAAAATATATCTTGAGTTTTATTATAAAAAGCGTATGTATGGTATAAATTTAAAATTTAAAATTTAAAATTTAAAAAATTTTGGTTACACTTTCAATAAATGCAATTCACTTTTTAAAATTACTTTCTAATAAATTCAATGAGTTTATCCTATTGCCGTAAAACTAATTATATAAAATAATGGATAGATTTCTCATTGGTTCATGTCTCAAACTGAGTTTATCCTATTGCATGTATTTTTTGAAAATATTTTATTTATTTTTGAAGAAAAACGTAATAAAATGAATAGTTTATTGTTATTAGATTAACTTATTTATTTATATATTTTTTAATCTATTTTCTACAGTATTATTAAGTGTGACAAATTTTTCAATCTTAAAATAAAATAGTTATACAAAAGACAAGTAAGAGTCAAACTCAAAGCCTTAAGTTTTATTAAGAAGATTTTACTATTTAGGTAACATACCTATTATAAAATTAATTTTTTTGTTATATATTTTTATTTTTACTTATTTGAATTGTATATGTATAGCATGTGTCATCTATTAATAAATAATATATGAGAGACATTTTACAAAATAAATAAATAATAAAATCATAAAAACGAAACATATAATATACCTCACAAACCGGTCAACAGTATCCTCTATTCCAAGTATGAAGTGAAAAGAAAACATACCTATCAAACAATAAGACCCATCATAATAGAAATAGCTTCATTTCAATTGCTTCACTTACAATTCCTGTGTTCAGTTATGTGATAAGCTATTGGCAAAACCAAGATCAATTATCCCCTTTCTCACTCACTCATCCCCAACCCAATTCAACCCTCAAGGACACAATCCCAACCAAGCAACAGAGAGAGAAAAAGAAAGATTTATTTCAAGTCCAGAGAATACATCTATACTATTATAATTTGATGTCTATTAGTCTGGTAACTCTTTTTTTTTTTTTTGTTACGCGACAAATTTTTCTATCATAAAATAAAAAAATATTATTTAAAAACATAAACAAAATTTAAACTTAAGATTTTAAATTTCATTAAGAATATTTTTACTATTTAAACAATATATATATATATATATATATATATTATTATGTTACCAACTTCTTTATTATTTATTTTTTTTACCTACTTATCCGAACGGCTGTGTATATACATATACAGAGAGAGAGAGAAGGAAAAAGAAAAAAACTGAAAAACAGAGGAGAAGAATGTCGGAAGTGAAAGACCATGCGATCAAGTTGTTTGGCAAGACGATTCCATTGCTTCTCAACGAGCAAGTCTCAGTTGTTACAACACCTCTAAAAACAACAAAAACCCACGTTGATTCTGATGAACATCATGATGATAACCATCAACAACACCACTCTACCTCCCATCAAAATCTTCTTTCTTCAGCCTCTTGTTCGACGCAAAGTCAAAACAGAGTTGAAGATGTGCAAGAAAACAACCAGGTACTGATTTGAGTTTGTGTATTTCGATAATGGGTCGATTCGTTTCATTCCCATTTCATTTCATATAATCTGTTCTATTACATGTTCGACGAAAGTCCAACACCAACCAGAGGACTTTTTTTTTTGCAAGGTTTTGAGTATATATTTCTACTGAATTCTGTCAAGATTGATTTAAAACTACCAATTTTTTTACTTTTGTGACAATCAGAACTGAGTTGTGCTATAGTTGTTTCTTAAGAACTTTCTGAATTCGTACATAGAACCAGGTTTTGATTATTTTTGTTTGTTTTCAAACCAAACCTTTATGTTGATTAGATAGTATATAGAGATTATGATTGAATTTCGGATTTTAAAATTTTCTTTTTAACTTCAAGCTAGCTGCTACTTTTGTTTAATTTTCGATTATGAGTTACTTAGCAAAGTATTTTCTTTTTTAAAAAAAAAAAAAAATAATTCCCATGCTGGTCCATTGGATTTTCTCTTCACAGTTTTGATTTAATTGCTTTGAAACCCAGTAATTATAGCATTGAATTGCACTCCTTATGTTTCAATCTTTACCATTGTTGACATGTTTTTTATTTTCTACTTTTTTACCAAAGAATCTTTGCATGTTTGTCTCAAACAAGTTCTGATCCAGTTATTTAACTGTTAATTTTGCTAACTTTTAGCTTAGCAGACTTAAAATAAATTATAAATTTCCAATGAACTCTGGAAATTCTATCCGTTAGACCTTCTTCTGATCATACTAATAATTTATTTTTTTAATTTATTTTTTTAAAATTCAATGACTCAATTGGTGCATTTTCTTCTTAAATACTCTGTTTCTAACCCTATTTCTAAATGCTAATTTCAGAAACCTTCGCAAATTGAAGTCACCGAGACTAGACAGGAAGATCCAGCAGCAACATCATGTGAAAACCCGAAAACACCATCTGTCGAAAAAGAGCATAGTTCATCCATAGTTTCCAAGAACGACGAACAGAGCGAGACTAGCAATAACTCACAAGAAAAAACACTGAAAAAGCCTGACAAAATACTTCCATGTCCCCGCTGCAATAGCATGGACACCAAGTTCTGCTACTTCAACAATTACAACGTCAATCAGCCCCGCCATTTCTGCAAAAAATGTCAGCGGTACTGGACAGCCGGTGGAACCATGAGGAATGTTCCAGTAGGTTCTGGTCGTCGCAAAAACAAAAACGCTTCCGCTTCACATTATCGTCATATCTTGGCTGCTCAAGCAGATGTTGCTAATGGAACTGTCCTTAATTTTGGCTCGGACTCACCACTTTGTGAATCCATGGATTCTGCATTGACCCTAGCTGAGAAATCACAGAAGATTTCTGTTTCGTGTGGAGGAAGAGAATATGGGGATGAGCGGTCAAGTAGGTCTTCAATTACAGGTTCAGATTCAGCAGAAAGGGGAGGGAATTCGATTTTGCAAGAATCGGTTACGACCAATTTTCAGAACTTGAATCCTCAAGTACCGTGCTTCTCGGGTCCTCCTTGGCCTTGTCAATGGAACTCACCCCAATGGAGGACTCCAATGCCTCAGCCGGCTTTTGGCCCTTCTGGCTTTCCAATTGCAGTTTACCCAGCACCACCTTATTGGGGTTGTGCTTTACCTGGATCTTGGAATTTTCCATGGATTTCGCCTGACCCTGCTACATGCTCAAGTCCTAATTCTCCAATCCTGGGGAAGCATTCCAGGGATTGGGATGTTCTTAAACCATCAAGCTCGGAGAAAGAAGAGGCCTTGAAAGAAAACAATTTGGAGAGATGTGTTTGGATTCCAAAGACATTGAGGATCGATGATCCAAGTCAAGCAGCAAAAAGCTCTATATGGTCAACACTCGGGATTAAGAATGAAAAGAAGGATTCAATCAACACGGGAGGTCTGTTTAAGGCATTCCAATCAAAAGGAGATGAGAAAAAACACATAGACGAAACATCTTTGGTGTTGCAAGCCAACCCTGCAGCCTTGTCAAGGTCACTCAACTTCCAAGAGAGTGGCTAATTGAATAGTGAAATGTCACCATCAATTTTGCTTCTTGCATATTCTCAAAGCAGAAAATGCATTGCAGCTTTGTTGGCCGGAAGACTGTGTTGATTACTGACCTCAAAGGCAGGACCTATTGGCGAAGCAGTAACGATCTGTGGTGATTAACCTAATCAGTGCATGATTTCTCTTTTTTTCTGTGACAGTTAGAATGTTTTTGTTTTGCAGTAAACTCGTATGTTTTGGGACCAAGTGTTCTTGTACATAATATATACAATTGAGGTAGAAAAAAAAGAGAGATTCTTGAATGTACGAATACGAATGTGATTTGGTATAAATATCTGTTGGTCTGAATCAGGAATTTCTTGAACATGAATCAGTATCATCCATCTGTGCTGTATACATATCTCATTCCATACACTGCTTAGGATATGCTATCAGGTTGTGGAATTGAGATGATTTATTTTTTTGAACTAAATACATTGTGTGCAAATAGGTAGAAGATTGTTTTGTTTATGTGATGGCCTCTGTGAAGATCTTTGTTTTTGTTAGACTAGCCTGCATCTTGGTAAATACTGGATACTAATCACTCAACTGTGGATCCAACTTGGTGTAAGGGTAATTTTTTCCATTTTTATATTTCTAACATTTGTGCATCAATTTCTATGTATATGTGGTTGAGGGACAGCAGTCATCGTTGTATCTCGTATAATCTTTCGGATCATAGTGAATTTGTGTTTGTTCTTGTGTGTATGTTCTTTTTTGTTTTCATGTCACATTGATTCCGATTAGGTGTTACAAATCCGTAACACATTTAAATCTTGAATTTTTGAAATGATTTGTGGTGGAAAAAGAAAAGGAAGGGACTTGTATCCAATATAGTAATAATAATAAATAAACAAACTAAAGTTCTTTATGAAATTATATCTAAGGCCCAAGGTGGAAAATATTATTGTAAAAGTAGGGCAGATTGCAACAGATAAAGTTGGGAGGGAGGTGTGTTTGGTTTTGTAGGGCCTCACCTGTGCAGATAAACTTAAATTGTATGTCACAAAAGGCAAGCTAATCGCCTTTCACTTTCAAGCCAAAAGCATCTAAACAACAAAGGCCAAAAGGTAGGAAAAAAACTAAAGGATAAAGTTTTCTTTTTCTTTGTGCCTTCTTTTTCTGTTTCTTTCACATTTTCTTTTGTTTGGAATTTTCTGTGGAAAAATCCTTTTTCTGCGTGCTATTTTATTTACTAATTTATTTTGTTGTTTTATTTAAGGATAAATTACATCGATTTCTCTTAAAATTCTGAAAAAATATAACAAACTCTATAATTTTAGTATAATTAAATTGACTTCCTTTGAATAAGTTTAAATTTAAAATAATAAACAAATGCAGATAATGTAAAAATACAAAGAAAGATAAAATAAATTATACATTTCATTCACCCAAAAAAAGAATTATATATTTCAATAAAAATAAAATTAAGTGTTATATGAATTAAAATTTTATGAGAAACTAATATTATAATGTTAAACTTGTGGGACGTATGCACTTTTTATAAACTTTCAATATAATTTAACCTTTATCTAATTATTTATTTTATCTTGGAGATATCAAAAACCTGATAGATATAGGTGTTTTTGAGTGATCAGTCCAGGTGAGACATTGAGATATTTCATTGCTGTCCATCAACATTGAAGGCCACATTTTCTGCATAAAATGAGTTGTTGTGGGACATAATGCATGTGATTACTTTCCATCATCCTCACTTGCTGTTCCTTTCTTTCCATTTATTTTTGTCATTTTTCTTCATAACAGGCAAACACGCCTTTTTCCATCTTTCTCTGTCAAAATAAATTAATATTAGAAAATTTTCCATTGCTAAAAATGTGACAATTAGATGACAAGAAAAATCCTAACCATTCAAGTTAGTGCCTTCCTACGAATTTAATTTCCATTTTACAATCCAAAGAAAAGAACTAAATTTTATAATATTCATGGAGTTGTGTGGTTCTCATTGAAGATCAATTCTTTAATTTGTTGCAAGTCAGCATCAATTCTTAACTATTCCAATTGCATATGTCCTTGGAAAGGAAAAATTAAAAAATTAAAAAATTAAAAAATAAAAATGAAAGCTACAATTTATAAAGTGAAATCCTTTATCACATCATGGTTAGGATAGCATATTAAATTTAAGATGTGTCACGCCACAAAATAATACAAATAATTCATTTCATAAGATCTATGAACATATATAGTCTGTTTGGCAAGTTGGTTTGAGGCTATTTTAGCCACAAAAGACAAAATAGGCTATTTTAGCCACAACAAACAAAATATCACATCCAACCCATAATTATTACACCATTCTCTCACAAAAAAGTCAAAAAAGCCAAAAAGTCAAAAAGTCCTTCCCAAATCAAGTTTTTTAGCCCAGGCTAAAATAGTTAAAAAAGCTAAAAACCAACCCACTTTCCAAACGAAGGCTAGAAATGATATACTTCATTCATCAAAGTTTATATTACAACAGGTATTACATGAATTATACATCCATAGATATTCATTCTAAATCTACAACATATAACATATGTTAATAGCAATAAAATAAATGTCCTACGGGCTTATATCTTTCCAAGACATAACTTGGTTACAACAAATGAGAGACATAAGCTCTATACATATAAAGCACTTGGCTTGAATAAATATTTAAACACAAAATAACAAAGTAGAGCCTCCAGCTCCTAAGTCCTCCCAAGCTACGTCTTTAGAGGGAAATATATCACCAGTACCTAAAAATGGTTTTCCAAGTAGGGTGAGCCAAAACCCAGCAGAGATAGACTAACACAATATATGAGGTTTAACTAAGACATAAGTGTTACATAAATGTTTCACACTCATAACCAACTTACATTCTTTCCATGATCATTCAATATTGATACCCATATCTCAATCCATTTCCATCAATTCAATTCATATTAATTCAATTAATTCCGAGTCAATTCATAAGACAAGTTCATTGTTATCTAAACAATCCAAATGAGACTACAACTCAGTGATTCACAATTCAACACAACTATTATTCGAACACTTCAATTTTGCCATTTTATAGAATTTTCATCCGAGGGAATCGGCACCCATATATATACAAGATTTAGGGACTTTCACCTTGAACACTCTGGCCAACTTAATTTTAAATGAACTCCATCCCCTATCTCCTCCCAAACAATGATACATATACAATGTATTAAAAGTATCGTCATATACAATGACTATCCACAACACATACTCAATGACTTAATCATACCGTCATATTCAATGACATGATTTAAATGATTAGTTTCAATTCACCTAATCCACATGCAATTTCTACAACAATCATGGCTATCCTCCACCGATAGTTCAAAATAGATATCTCTAAACAGATATACAATCTTTATAACAGATAATTTATCAAATTTCCATAGGTGTGTAATTAAACGAATCCAACTGCACCATTCATTCATTCTTTCCCCCAATTTCACATTCCCCATGCCAATTTCATTATTTATTCAAAATAATTATTCAATACAAATTAGGACAAATCTTTCCCTTTTTCAAATATCAATCCAAAGGCTGAATTTCACCATTTGAACACAAAGGAACTCCATATCCAAAACCCCTTACTCATTTAAGTAACCAAACATGAAAATCCCTATCTTCAACTTGAACCCAAACCCTAATTTTACCCAAATCACTCCCAAGTCTCATCATTTATACATAACAACGAATAACTAGGTTAAAGATTATAACAAAGTGTAGAATATCCCTACCTCAAGAGTAGAAGCTCAAAGGAGATGATGAAGAACTTCAAAAATGCTCCAAACTCGGTTTTGTTCAGATCAAGAGAAGAAGACTATAAGATGCTCTAACTCTTTAACAAAGGGACTAAGGTTGAGAGATGCTTGGATCTTAAAGTATTTGTAGAGAAAGAGGGTGTCGGATTAGGGTTTTTAGGACAAAGGAAATCAAAAAGTGATGTAAAAATTCTCTGCTACGAACTGATATACGTGACCTTCGCTCAAGTGAATGAGTTGTTGCTCGAGCGACCAGACACAACAAACGACCTCGCTCGAGCGCAAAATACAAAGCTTCAGAAGTTTTACAGATGCATGCGCTCGCTCGAGCGAGCGAGGTGGAAGAAGCCTCGCTCGAGGGAAGTACTTCACCTTTCTAGAAATTCTGCATCAGGGAAAGAAACCTGAGGACTCTCAATTCTCGCTCGAGCGCAAGAAATCTCACTCGAGCGAAGAAGCCAAAATTTAGGCAAAAAATAATATGGACCAACCAACAACCAACCTGTTCCAAACACGCCCAATGTATTCCAAAACCCAAATTCAAAGAGTTAGAGAAGGAAAATAAGACATGGATACAATATTAAACTACGAAACCCGAGTCTGGAGTGTAACAAAAGTCAAGTCAAAACTGGAATTGCCATAAGATATTTGTAAAAAAATAAATAAACAGAGTGAAAAATTAATTTTCCTAATACTACTTGGCATCCTATCTCAAATTTCGTCCACCAAGTCCTACTATATTCAACTCGAAATATTATAAAATGGTGCTACATACACAAAATTAAATCACAAAAAAATACACAAATTTTTTTTTATTGTGTGATTTATATTGATTGTTATTTATATTTATTTTAAATTATGACTCACATACCAATCAATATAAATTTCAACGTCACATTATACTTTTTGTACATTCTATATGTCTCAATTTTATACAACTATTATTTCCATATATAATATAATAGATTGTATATCACACATATAAAAGTATAAAATTTACAAGATTCATCCCAAAATAAAAAATATATGTAATATATATATATATATATATATATTTACAATCAGTAGGGGGGAATGGCCCTGTTTAGTAGAGCTGTGAAAAAGTGATTATAGATTATAACTTAACAGATTATAGTTTATAGCTGTGAACATAAGCTGTTAACCTGTTTGGTGCAGTTGTGAGATTATGGATTTAAGTAGCAGAGTAGTGTTTGGTTAATAAGCTGTAAAATAGCTTTTTACTGTATAATTGTCATTTCTGCCCTTATATGATATAAAAATGATTATTTTGTCATTTTTTTCAGTTTTAATTTTAAAAAAAAACATTTCATTAATAAAAGTTAATATAATTAGTATCTATTAATATAAAAATTGATACATTCGCTAAAAATGTAATGGAAGTATTATTGTCACAATTACTTCAGAAATATACAATTTTTTATTTTTTAATTAATATAAAAATATACAATATGAATTTATTAATAATTAATACCAATTAATATTTATTTTTCAATTAATATTGATTTTTTTCTTTTTCTTCAGAAATATA